ATCACTGCAGTACCCTTACTGTGGTACTATGACTACAATACTATTACTGTAGTACTGTTACTGTGGTACTATGACTACAGTACTATCACTGCAGTACTATGATTACAGTACTTTCACTACAGTACTATCACTGCAGAACTATCACTGCAGCACTATCACTTACAGTACTATCACTGAAGTACTATCACTAACAGTACTATCAGTATTGTATTATCAATGCAGTACTATCAGTGCAGTACTATTCCTGAAGTACTATCACTGAAGTACTACGCCAACAGTACTAGGACTAGAGTACTATCACTGCAGTATTATCGCTACAGTACTATCACTATAGTTTATTAAAAATGGCAGCAGCAGTACTGATGCGTACACACCTTTTACTTACATTGTAAGTATATGGTATGCACACCATAAGTACAAGTTATGTACTTGGTGAAAACCATTTACTTACAGGGTCCATAACTGGAATGCACTCTGTAAAGTACCTGGTATGTACCGGATGCTTACAAGGTATGTTCATTTTATGTACTCAGTATTTACTCAGTACATATTGGGTAGTTAGAGGATAGTGCATACCTGGTACATACCTCCTAAATGCCAGATATATATTATCTTAGTGCCCAGTCTTTATCAGGTACATAATGGTTACTTAATGGGTACTTTCTGTACTTTCCATTTCAGTTATGTGTGGGTTACATACAGTGTTCTTACAGCATACATGTTGGTGCGTTTATTGTTACTTAAGGTACATACTGGGGCTCTTACTGGGTACTTATCGGCTATGTACTGATATGTACAGTGTCTTTACAGGGTACATTTAGGTTTCATACAGGGTACATACCTGGTACAGTGAGTGTACTGAAAGGGTACATATCAGGTACACAAGTGTACTTATCGCCGCAGGTACGTCACGGCGTGTTGCTTCTCTGCATCTTCACTGCTGGTCGCCACGGGGTCCATGGATAAATCTGTAAACATCTGGAGGCTGGAGGACAGCTGCAGTGGACACGGTGAGGGACAAAACTCACTCCAGAACGAGGAAGAATGATAAATATATTATATATATATTTTATGTTTCTCTCTTTGACCTCACGGTTCAATGGAAAGGAGGAAAGTCGCTGCCTGGTTAGTTTTTTATTTTTTATCTTAAATATTTTTATCCATTAACTGATTCTTCATGTGTTTGCTCTGAACGTTTAAATCTGATGTAACAAATGTCAGTTAAATGGTTACCATTCCTTTTTTAGATGTTTTTTGTTGATTCCTGTGAACGACTCAGTTGTTACATGTTCGCGTTCTCTCTGTTCCTTCAGCTTTAAGTGTCTCACGTGGGTTTTTTGTGGTTTTTTTTTACTGTTTAATTTTTGCTTGTGTTTTTTGTTTTTCTTTTCTTATGTAGCTGAAGATTTTGCGCAAACATCAAGTGAAGGTGAGAAACAAAAATGTATTTATTGGAGAATGTGACTTTGCATCTCTTACAAAATGTCTTAAAGGAATGCATATCGCCCACTACCATGCATGCTAAAGTTAGCACACAGTGTTGAGGACGACTCTCAGCTACTACCACACCAAATATTAGCTCAGTATCTGCAAAGTTGACAAAGTTAAAGCCATTTCTGTGTTTCTGTGGCGCCACGTTGGATCTGGTTGACTCCAAATGGTAACAAGTTGTAGATAAATGTCTGAAAAATACTTCCAGAGAATGTCATTAAGATTCACCCAGTGGTTTGTGAGATACTTTGATAACAGACAACAACACAAATGTTAATGTACCTGGGTAGGTGCACATAACGCCAGCGTTTCCCCTACCATTAGCAGGGTGCCCCGTCAACAGAAACCAGCACCCTCTCTACAACCCCCCTCCTCCCCGGCAGCAACGGGGCACTAAGAGGTATCAGTTGACACCCCCCCCGGGTCGACACAAATAAAATACTACGAGCGCCCTGCCAAGAGAACTGATCTAGGGTAATCACTGAATGCACTCAGTATGTACTGTACTTTTTAAGTACCCAATATTTTTTGGGTACGTACTAGGTAATCAGAAGATATGTTTCAGGTGCTAATATGGTACTAACATGGTATGTACCTTAAACGTACTAGATACATACTCTCTAAGGACTTTGTACGTACCATCTACTGTACAAAATATGTACCCAGTGTATACCAGGTACAGGCTGTGCGCAAAGTGGATATCTACCTATTACGCATCGTGTACTTACTGAGTATGTGTTGTAGTCATAGTTTCTTTGCAGGGTATGTTTTGTTCTTTTATAAGGTCCATACCTGGTACTTACAGGGTACAAACTGGGTACTTACAGGGTATGTACTGAATGATCAATAAAAAAAGGTAAAAAAAGAAAAACAAATAAAAAAAACAACAACTGGACTTCTTTTCCGAAGCGATTCTATTCTTTCAGCTTCAGAATAGAAGTTTTTGTTTTACCTTTTTTTATTGATCATGACCTGGATGACCAATCTTCACCGGCGTATGTACCAATTACATATAGAGTACTTGACATTTATTGGATACATGGTTTCCTTATAGGGTATGTTTTGGTCTCTTAGTAGGTCATTAGCCTTGTGCTTACAGGGTACGTACTGCGTATATACAAGGTACTTAAAGAATACCCTGATGCATGCTCAATAATCCAGGTAGAACCACTTTGTGTATGCTGTTCAGTGTCAGGAGGGCTGTGATCAGTCTTACACCGGGGAAACTAAACAGCCACTGGCCAAAAGGATGGCCCAGCACAGAAGATCAACATCATGAGGCCAGGACTCTGCGGTCTACACTCATCTCCAGGCCAGCGGTCACTCTTTCAGGGATGAAGATGTTCACATCCTGGACAGAGAGGAACGATGGTTTGAGAGAGGAGTAAAGGAGGCCATCTTTGTGAAAAGAAATCGTCCATCATTAAACAGGGGTGGAGGCCTCCGGGTTCAACTGTCCCCCTCTTACAATGCTGTGATTGCTAGTATCACTCAGCCCTCTGTGAGTAGTAAACAGCCATCAGTGTGCTAATGATCCATTGTTAGGCTGATGGTCCTTCTTGAGCATGTGATCAGCTGGTTTTGGTTGTCAGCAGCAAACTGGTTGATCCACTCTGAGAAGGTGCTATTTAAGAGACTGAGCTGAAAACATCACCTCAGACTGAGGAAGTCTCTTGGATGAGAGACGAAACGTTTCTAGATTTTTTTTTGCTTTGTTTTGCTTTTGTTTTTTTGAATGTCCAGAGGACCAGATTGAACTTTTTTGGGTACTTAAAGAATATGTACTGGATACATTTAGAGTCTTTACAGGGTACATTTGTTTTTCTTATAGGGTACATACCTGATACTTGTGGAGTACCTACAGGGTATGTATCTGGCACATACAGGATGCCTATCAGGTACATTGAGTGTATCTATCAGGTACTTACAAAGTACAAACCGAACATACCCAGAGGATAAGTTGTGTGTGTGCATGCAGGGTATATATCCTGTAAGTACCAAATGCATACCAGCTAAGTACTCATTACGTACCTGGTACATACCTGGTACCCTGAAAGTGCCTGGTTCATACCTGATACACACAAGTTATGTATCTGCTTAGCTGGTAAAATTCTGGATAAAAGGATGTTACCTGCTGCAGGTACGTCACAGGCTAGCATGTCTTTTATAAGGTACTACCTGGTACTTTTAAGTATCAAGAGTGAATTTATCAAGTACTTCCTTTAGGTACAGGTACTTCCTTTGGAGTATGTTTTTACTGTAAATTAAACCTCTTGTTATTTAATACCTAGCAGGTTTTCAGGATTTGCTGTGTAGAGATTATTTGGTGATTTTTCAGCAGCTGACCCTCTCGTCTCAACTCGTCCTCTCAGGGAAAACCTCGGCGCGCCGGTCCAAGCTGCTGGTCGCCGATTGGTCGGAGGAGGACGTGTCGGAGTGGCTGGTGGAGGAAGGACTCCAGGGATTGGTGGACAGATTCAAGGCCAACAACATGGATGGGACGGAGCTGCTCCGTCTCACCAAGGAGACGCTGGCGTCAGAGCTGGGCATAGGTGAGGAAGACGAATCTCACACATGGCTGAGCGAGCACCGTGTCACTCCTTCACCACCTCCTTCTGTCAGAATCCTAATCCTCGCCTTTTGTCTCAGGGACACAAGAGAATAAATCTAGCCTGAAGGGTTTGACAGGAGAGGTTTCTTCTGAGATTCATCAGAAATATTTGTTTTTCTGTTTATCGTTTCTCACGTTTGTTTGCTGGATCAACTACTTCAGTTCAGTCGGGAACAATTAGCTCTGACTTCTGGTTTTCCTCACTCCATCTACCTCCATGTCCTCTCTAACTGCATCCAGATATCTCCTCTTTGGCCTTACTTTTTGTCTTTTTTTCTGGCAGCTGCATTTCTAACATCCTTCTACCAAAATAAAACCACTGTCCCTCCTCTGGACATGTCCAAACCATCTCAGTTTGGCCTCTTTAACTTTATCTCCCAGTTGTTCCACCAGTGCTGTACCTCTGATGATCTCATTCCTAATCTTATCCATCCTTGTCACTCCTAAGTAGAACCTCAGCATCTTCATTTCTCACTTCCAGTTCTGTCTCTTTGTCCATGTCTCTGTCTCCAGACCAGACAACATAGCTGGTCTCACTGTCTTGTAAACTCTTCCTTTGACCTTTGCTGACACCCTTTTGTCACAAATCACTCTTGAAACTTTTCTCCATCCACTCCATCCTGCCTGGACTCTCTTCTTGACCTCTTTACCAAAGCTTCTGTTTTTATGGACAGTTAACCTAAAGTCCTTAAAGTCCTGCACCTTTGGGACAGCACATACTGTCCATGTCTAAATGGATCTCTCTATTAATCTTATCTTGTTATTCTTTCAACAACTTCAGTGCAGAACGAACAGAACAGTGCACCAACATTGAAACAAGTGGCTCGGTCACAAGACGTGTATGTCTTTGTTTTATTGGCATTTCAAGTTACCATGGCAACGTAATTTACCAAAGAAAACCCATGGGATTGCATGGACAAAGCTTCCAGTCCTCCTAAAACTGTACACTATTCCAAATATCTCATAAACTGTTGGAGCAAAACTCTCCTGAAGTCATCATTATTCGGGTCAACCCAATTCAAAATGGCCACCAAAGCAAATACAAAAACGATTATGACTCGGTCAGTTTTAGAGATATCAAGCTGGTTTGGTGTGGTAGTAGCTGATAGTGATCTCCACCAAGTGTCTCTTCAGGATTTTGTGTTTCGTTTCTGCTTCCCTCCCTCTCCACCTTTGACGGACCCGTCTGCCGTCACAGCAGATGAAACGCGGTGCTGCTCAGCACTCTTCTGAGCTTCGCCGTGGTAAGACGGCGGGATTCGTGCCGCGTTGCTAAAAACAGATCAATGTGAACACAAGCTGTCACGCCGCCGATGCCGAGTAAACCGAGCAGTGATTGACAGCGGCCGTGGGAGGGGAATGACGGCACGGCAGTACAACGAGCGTTTGCCGAGAACGACGTGACGAACGCTGTAGACTGACATCGACAACACAACACTCCCACTTCAGCCTGGTGGCATCGCGTCGGAAAACTGAGCGCCTGACTGTCCTCGTCAAACTAAACTCATCTTCATCGCCTTTATAAAAAACAAGTGAGGTCGAGATCTCTTGTCCAAGGGTGACCTGGTCAAGGGGTTGGCAGCACAATGATCAAAACTAAGAAGAATATAATTATTTTACCCACATAAACGTTAATAATGAATAACAGTGACTTAAAATGGTTTAAAACAAGCTTCAGAGGAGAAACAACAACGTGACGTCAAACCTTGTAAGTCTGTAGATCAGTTAGAGCTCAGAGTACGTGTTGTGAGTGACTCTCAGCTACTACCACACTGAATATGAGCCTAAAATCTATAAAAACGAGAGCTACTACGAAGCCAAATTTTAGCTAAATATTTGTAAAATTGACTGAATTGTAGCTATTTTTGTGTTAGCTAAGGTTAATTAGCTGCAGTGGCCATCTTAAACTGGACCGACTCCCAAGAGTTAAACCGCTGTTGATGCACATCCAAGGATTATTCTGCAAACTGTTGCAATCTGTCCAGTGGTTCATGAGATATTTTGCTAACAGACAGTTGACTCCAATAGTTAATGGCAAAGTGTAAGGAAGAAATCTTGTGCAACCAATTAGCTCTTGGATTGTAAGTTGGAGATGACTCTCAGCTGCTACCACACCAGAATGTTAGCTAAATATCTAAAATCGACTGCGTTGTAGCTACTTTTGTGTTTTCTAAGATCCGTTAGCTGTGGCGGCCATCTTGAATTGGCTTGAAATGACATGAGCCCACAGCACAACAAATTAAAACAAAATAAGGACATACATGAAACTTTGTTGTTGTTGTTGTAAATTAACTTTAGACTTTATTGGAAATCTGTTTTAAAGATTGAGTTACGTAACTCCTAAAGTGCTGCAGATTAAAGTCAGACGAGCCGAAGCCCTTAAAGCCAAAGGCTTTTGCAGCTCAGACTAGCATTACGTAATGAAACAGCCATAAATATTTATTCTTTCAGCTGCACGTTAATCTTACGTAGCAAAATCTGTAAACAGACAGAGCAGAAGTGTGACCTGACAGTGTAAGTGCTGCGTGTCTGTTTCCATACAATGACAACATTACGTCTCTGCATACACCCAGGTTAATTTAACAAAAGGCTAGAGCCAAAAGATAAAAATAGCATCATAGCACAACTATAGTCATCACTTTGTAGTAGTATATTGTGTAAAAATACTTTGCAAACTGTGTGAGTAGATCTGGTTTTTTTTTTATCACAGCCGATCAGAAGCAGCTGCTGCACACGCTAACGGGTCAGTCGGCTTCAGTCTTCTGCTGCTTGTTTCAGATGAACAGCTGCTGGGTCCAAAACCAAGTACATTAGATTTTCTGAAAAACACATTGTGAGCACTCAGCGACAGCTGAATTGTGCTGAAAAGGCCGAAACTGAGTGAAATAACAAACACGCACACAAAACACTAGCTAAAATATGCAAAAACACTGGCTAAAAGTAGCCAACACTAACTTAAATTAGCAAAATGATAGCTAAAAATAGCAAAAGGAGACAAAGATTGAGCAAGTATGCTCAAGTTTTTTTTAAAGAATTGAAGAACTCAATGTAATTAGTTAATGTTATTATAATTCTACAAGGAAGATATTTGTAAAACTCAAATTTTCCTAAAATGTAAAAGTTACAGAACCCTCATGGCACTTTATCGAGCTGAATGTTTTGACTAAACTTTAAACAGAAAAACTACAGTGAGAACGTTGACTCCAGTTAAAACCAGCAGGTTTGTCGTGCTAAAGTCTTGATAGCGTTCGGCTGTGTTTGACTCTATATTTTATGAGAACCAGTCATTTTTTATTTTCTCCAGTTTTCAGACCAAAGTGTGTGCTTGGTGTTGGAGTTGGACAGACCGCTCTCACCCTCCACCCACGCTCACATTTGCCATTCAAGATGAAAAGTGCTAAACGCAGAAAGGACAAACGGCTCCATCATAGTGACAATGTTACACATGCCGGCACGGTTCTTCCCAGTCCTCGTGACTGGAGCACATTCTTCCTCCTGTTTCTTTTTTCCAGAGTCGGTCGGCCTGCGGGGTAAACTGCTGAGGAAGGTGGAGGAGCTGAGGAGCGCTGCGGTGTGTTCAGGGGTTCCTGACGAGTTTCTGTGTCCCATCACCAGAGAGCTGATGAGGGAGCCGGTCATTGCTGCTGGTAGAACACCTGAACTTTACCAAGTTCAAATAATGCAGTTTCTTTATACGCCCGTCGAAGGCGGATGTATTCTGGTACAGTCTCCGTCCATCTGTAAACTTTCTCACGTCTGCATCATCACTAGACGGAGTGACCCTTTACTTGACAGAGCCATTGCCATAGATTTCTGTGTAATAGTTTATCGACGGACGTATATGATGTGCCATCTTGTTGCTAATTGTGACATTGTTCTGTTTGCCCCAATAGATGGGTACTCCTATGAAAGAGAGGCCATCGAGAGCTGGATCAACACCAAGAACCGTTCCAGTCCCATGACCAACCTGCCCTTACTGACCACTCTGCTCACCCCCAACCACACCCTGAAGATGGCGATCAGTCGCTGGAAGAGCAGCCAGTAGCGTCCAGACGGCCTGCTGAACATCTAAAGTAGACAGGAACAGGATCGCTCTGTGCCGGGACATTTCAGGTTCAGGTATCTTCTGGTGGTGGGCTTCTTCAGTCATGCTGCGTTAAATACACAAACATCAGGAAAGACTTTGATCTTTTTATCTTGCTTTATGCACAAGTCACTTCTTGACACTTAGAACTTTACTTCTTGTAGTTTATCGTTGGAGCTGGAAAAAAAAAACGTCTGCAAAAGCTGGAGACTGACAATAAAACTCATAAATAACATTTTTTTACGTCTGACAGTGTAAGTAAGTGCTGTGTGTATGGTTCCATACAATGACATTACTTCTCTGCGTACACCCAGGTGGAGCAGTGGGCAGCTCTTGAGCGCCCAGGGAGTAATTAGGGATTGGGTGTCTTGCTCAGAGACACGACGACTTGTGGGAATGGCTGGGAGTCGAACCGCGACCTTCTGGTCTGAGGTCGGCTGCTCTTCCTCTGCCCCATCTCGGCCCCTACTACTACTACCAACTACTACTACTGCTACTACTACTACTGCTACTACTACAACTACTACCCCTACTTGCCCCCCTAATAACACAACGTATTGGTTTAATGAATATTATTGTGCATTTTGAGTTAACGGTGGCTGTGAGAGGTTTTGGACTGACATTTTACGTACCTTTCTTAAATCGTTGCATCAACAAATAGGAGAATATTTCTACTTTTAGAAAACTGCTTCTTCCAGTCGAGTGCCAGAAACTTGTAGAGTCGATGCTGAAGTGCAGTAAAATCATGTGTTCTAATGGTTCATTAGAATGTTTGGTCATTTCATAAACTTTATATAAAATATGTTGCTCCAGTGAGGTCAGTGAGATGCCTTCAAGTGCGATACCATAGATGGTCGCTGGGTTTTTGTTCCAAGCATAAAATACGAACAAGCTAAAGGCGGCTTTATACTCCATCAGACAAAAGACGTCTTTTCTCGTTCACGTGGTTGTAAGACGTTGTTTTCTGCGTGGATATTTAATACTCTAAGAAACTGGTGAAGAACTCCTTAGATAGAGAACTTGGCTTTTTTATATATGTGAATGTTTCTGTACAGTGCCCTGAGGCAACTTTGATGTGAATTGGCGCTATATAAATAAACTGAATTGAACTCCTGTTAAGCCCCTCCCACTGCAGCACACACTACGCCCAAAGAGAGACAAAAATGTGACGGTACTGTTGGCTAGCCGGCTGTTTTATTTCCAGTTGATGATGAAGGAGGAAGAGCTAGTATTTCTGTTAACTGAAGAGAAGCACCAATTAGAGAATTTGTCATGAAGAGACGGCCAACGTTTCTGACAGACGGTGCAGGAATGTGCCCCTGCGCTGTCCGGCCGAGGCGCGCTCCCTCCCGGACAGCGCAGTCATGGAGAAGTACCGGTGTCTCCACACTATCTCCTTTCAGGAGTTCTTTGACTATTTGTAAAAAGGTTAATTTGATCGTCTTTTATCTTCTAACAGCCTCAGCCAGCAGCTCCGCAGCAGCCGAATGAGAGCTGTGTAGTTCAGCCACTTTTCCACGTAAAACACACCCACAAAGCTCTGACCAGTCACACAAGACTTGGCCCATTCCCCATGAGACAACGGTTCTGCCAGGGAGTTGTGCCCAGAACCTTGGGGGCGGTTCTAGAACAAAATGAGGCAAAGTTCGTCACTTCCTTTGAACAATCCTCGCCTTCTGCTGTTGCTGGGAGATGAAACCAGTCCATTTTTCTTCTTGGTGTGGACATTAAAGAGCTCAGAAGAAAAGACACATAAAAAGTGGTTCAAGCAAATAATTTTGGCTCCAAATAGAAATGATTCGAAACAAAAATACAGTGGAGAACATCTGTAGGCTGTTAACAGATGTGACCAAACGGCACCAGCGGAGTCTCGACTGGACCAAGTGAGGAAGTTTGATTCCCGTTTTAATTTGTTGTGGGACTGAAAATCTCTGTGAAGGGGGTGCCGTTCTCAGCGTTGAATGTTTGGACCATCACTTTATTTTACCTCAGCCTAGAGTTTGCATGTTTATGCTTGTCTGTAATAATCAGATTTATCAAAGCTGTTCTAGTAGTTATGTGTTGAGCTGCAAAGAGCATTTATCCCTCCATACTTCAGAGCTTAATCATGTTTTCATGGAGTTAAACTGTGAAAGAAGTAGCTGTAGAAATGTGGTTCTCGTTATTATTTTTATTAAACCACACGTATAATGTGGTAACATTCTGTTTATCGTAGCATAACTGTAAAGGGTATAAGACGCTATGAACATAATGCAAATGTAATAATTCTTAAACCCTACATTCTGTGTCCAATAAAATCCATAAACTTCATCAGAATATGTTCTCGGCTATGCAAAAATAAATAGCATACTGTGCATTTTGAAGCAATAATGTTAAGTTACAAGAAGTTTTACACTAAAGTCATTTACAACACCTTTGATTGATCTAATGTACCAATCTGAAGTACAGAAGTGTTTTTTTAAAACCTGCTATGCCGACAGCCGATCGTTGCAAATATAGTGTCCACCGTACAAATATAAATGTTTTTTAAAAGACAGTCGACGATAGAAATGGTCGTAACCTGCGGCTAAAAGCGTGAGGTTTTTGTATATTTGTGCACAAAGCTTCCTCTGGTTTATGTTTTTGTTACAGTTAGTTCAATGTTCAGACAGAATCCAAGGGCGGTTCAGACAAAGTTGGCTTGTTATGTAAAATGTAATTAAAAAAACCAAAATACAACTATTTGCAAATCTCATAAATTCATTTCTTCACAGTCAGACTAATCCAAATTTAAATTATTTTTGGAAAGAGGAGAACAATTCTCCATCTTTTAAAAATGGTCCAATTCATTAATCGTGAATAAAATTTGGGTTTATGAGATTTTAAATCACTGTATTATATTTTTATTTACATTTCATGCAACGTTTCAGCTTTTCAAATGTGGGGTTGTAATGTTTTTTTTTTAATCCGGGGCTGTGGTAGCTCAGTGGTCAGTGTCGTGGTCTTGTAATCCTGAGGTTGCAGGTTCGAGCCCTCCAGGTTGCGTCAGGAAGGGCGTCTGGCGTCAAACGATTGCCAATTCTTTCATGAGAGTTCGCTCGCTGTGGCGACCCCTGAAGAAGGGAGCGGCTGAAAGAAACTTAAGATTTTATTAAATCCTACCTCAGGTACGTTTAGTGAATACGGCGGAGCAGCTGGGTACATGTACGCACAAAGCATCGCAGCCTGAGTTGAACTCTGGGTCTGTGCGCAGCAGCGTCAATCTACAAACGGGCTCGGGGAGCTCGGATCAGTGCTGCCTCCCGTGGGTCAGAGCGAGTTGAGGACGACCTCTGAGCTGCTTTCACACGTTGGACTCGATGAACGAGCGCTTGGGTTTAATGGGAGCCACGTGCAGAGCCGGGTTGTCCCTCGTGAGGCTCGCCTGTCTGTGCCGGCCCTCGGGGAAGAGGAGCTGGGAGGACGACGAGCCTCGGATCTCTCGCTGATGGGAACCGAACTCCCTGCTCGGCTGCTCCTGGAAGGAGGCGCGCTTGAACTCGCTCTGCCCCTGGAACTCCATGACCGACATGCTGAAACTCTCCGCTCCTCCTGGACTCTGTCGACTCGGGCCCGAGGTCTGTTGGCCCTGGACTCGCACCGCTTTGTCCATGACGCCCATGAAGGGCCGAGGCTTCAGGTCGGGTTTAGCCTTGAAGCTGCCGCTGCTCTTGATGGGGCAGGGGGCGTCTGGTGGCTGCTTGCCCCCGTCTGACAGGTTCCCGCTGGAGGCCTGACTGGAGCTGGAGCCCCTCGAACCTGCCGTTCCTCCTCCGCCCCCGTCCCGCCGGAGCTCGATCCCAGAGGCCAGAGCCAGAGCCAGGCTGTCCAGGGGCGTGGTGTGGGTGCAGAGTCTGTCGGGGGCTCTGGAGAAGCTGGAGGTTCTGGGCTGGTACATGGGCAGCAGTCCGGGCGGGGACGAGCTGCTGGGGGACAGGGGGTGGTAGTGCTCAGTGGGGCTGTGTCGGGAGTGTTCACTGGCCAATCCTGGACCGATGTCGATGCCCGCCGCAGGCGCCGGTCTCAGAGACATGTGCCTGCTGGGCCGAGGGCTCGAGGGGCCACACAGAGACACGGGCCGGACCCCCCCTCTGCTCCCAGACTGGAGGGAATGACAGCTGTGAGTCCGGCTGCTCTGGTTCTGCCTGTTCATGACGTGAACCAGCTCGTCCACAAACAGCTGGTTCTGGACACATTCCTCTGGAGGTAGTGGGGACTGGTCTCCCACACCAAAGCTCACTCCTCCAGGGAAGGTCCTGTTGGGAGCGTACGGATTCAGGGGCCAAAAATCTGGACTCTTCCCTCGGGGCAGGCCCCCCTCCCCACCCTCCTCCACCTCTCCGTCCACCAGCTCAGCTGGGATCTGCCTCTCCAGACTTCCCTGAGAAAACACGTCTGTTTCCTCCTCCGCAGGTTGGTGGTGGTGGGCGTGGGGGTCCCTGTCGTAACCCTGCGTGGAGCCGCTGCCGCACATCTTCTGATGATGTTTACACTCCTCCTCGACTCGCACCAGCAGGCGGCGGATCTCCCGGTTGGACGGGGAGAGTCGTGCTGCTTCGTGGAGGTCTGCCAGCGCCGCGGCAAACTGCCTGGGGACGAAAATCGACAAACCAAACTAAAAATCCTTCAATGTGCTGCAGATAAATCGCTCTGATTTCAAGTAATAATTTCATCTGCTCTACCTGCTGCTCCTCTTGGCTCGAGCCCTGGCGTAGAACGCTTCATAAGACCTCGGTTTCAGCTCCAGGGCTTTCGTTGCGAACTCCTCGGCGATGCCAAAATCCTGCGTTCAAAACCAGAAACATGAAATCAGTTCAGCATGAAGCCTGGTGGAAAACCCGCTGTTCAGATGGAGAGTTTTACGTCTGGCCTCTTAATTAAAAATAGTGTTTGCAGCTTCGTTGCGAGGCTCTACAGACTGCGGCTCGTGAAATGAAACCGATGCTGGGTTTGTTTTTAATGAGCAGAAAGAAGCAGGAAGCTGAAGGTTTGACCTTCTCGTCACTCGGGTGAACACGTAGCGACAACAACTCATCGTGTTGTTGTCCTTGAGAACGAGGTCAAAATGAAAGTTTTGGATGCGAGTTTCTGAACATTTGCTGCTAAATGTTAAATGGTGGCGTCGTCGAGGTCCTGCTGGTCCCTGCTGGTTCCTCACCGCCTGCATGCTGCTGTGAAACGTGGATTTAGTCGACCCACTTGGACGCCAGCTGTAAATAACTGTGTGTGGAGATGCAGAGAAAGGAGCGGGTGCTCCTGTCGGACAGTGAGAGTGACCTCATCACTTCACATCATCTGCTCCATTATTCATCAGCAGTAAAGACAGACATTTTTACAGTCAGGACGTCTGTCTTTCAGACACAATTTCAGAATAAAGGTCCTGAATGAAAGACTTTAATCTCCGTCATCTCTAGTTAATAATCTGATCCACAGATTAGAAAAATCTCTAGAAATCTGAGCTCAAAGGACGAGGCTCTCAGGGGCCACTGCATTAAAACAGGTCTAGTTCTGGTTCTGTCCTGGGCTAAGGAACACTTCCACAGATCATAACATCTGGTCTCCTCAGGTCCTCCAGAACCTCTAACATCTGGTCTCCTCAGGTCCTGGATGTTTACAGACTGTTTTTAAGTGAAGATGCTTCACTGAGGATGAAACCTGGACTTGGAACAACTTTTATTTCCATGTTTGTTCATGAGATTTGTAAATCGTTTCAGTCTGTTGCGTGTTTTGGAGTTGGGACAGCGAACACCTCAGATCCGATCTAAAATGAGCAGTAGTTTCCCAGAGCTGACCTGATCTTTTTAAGTCTGTGGAGATGAATGATCTGACAGGAGCGTGGAGCTCGCCTGGCCAGCCTGACGTCTAACAGCCTAAAACATGAGAGTGTCTGATGTAGCTCCGAGTCTTACGCTGGTTTTCCTGCGGCACCGGGACAGGTTCAGGTAGAGGGACACTCTCAGGTCCCGGAGGCCCTTTAGCTCCTCTCCTTGGACCTCGCGAGGGAGCTTCCTCAAAGCGTACTGGTACCGCTGGCCCGCCTCCTTCATACGTCCTTTCTGAGAGACACACAGAGGACGACAGGCTCAGTTCTGATCCGGTCTGGGTAAAACCTCTCTGTGGATGTGGGTACCTTGTAGAGCAGGTTCCCCTCCTCCATGAGCTTCTGCAGCAGGATGAGGAGGATGTCGGGTTTGGAGGAGGCCATGGCCCACGTAGCATGACCTGACAGAGGGACAGACTCTTTATATCACCTGCTTCACCTGTCGCTTCTGTTCTGCAGCTAAAGTTAATCTGGTACCTGATCGATCGTGCGGCGCCGATCTGTAGCCTTTCGGTTGATGAAGCAGAAGAGAAGAAAGAGAATTAAAGACAAACCTGCCGGAGAAAATGTAGCAAGAAGCTGTTCTGCAGTTACAACAAGAACCAAACAAAGGATTGGACAGCATTAGTCCCGACAGTGGGACTCAACACAGCGGGATGGTTCTACCGGTCTTGGATCCTTTCTTAAGAAGCGAAGCCACCAGAGACGGGTTCTGGCAGCCTGCCGCCCGGTCCGAACCTCTGGTTCCGTTGTTATCCGCTCTCTCCAGCACCGCCCCGTGCTCCACCAGGTTGTGCACCTAACAAGAAATTGGTATTCAAAGGTTATGATACAAGAAGGACGTGTTTGTTTGAGATCTCATTTGTTCGGCTGATTACCTCCGGAGCTGCATCAACAACAAGCCGATCTTCGGCTCAGAGAACATTTGAATTAAAGACGCGTTTGATTGTCCTCCTGGTGATCAGGAGGGAATCAGAGCTTTGCTCTGAAGTTTCTAACTCTGCAGGATGTTTGATTGAGCCAGGAGCAAATTATTTAATTAACATTCCCCTCGTTTGGCTAAAAATATCCTGAAATGACAATTATGTGAAACAACAATCACATAATTATCAACAGATTCACTCCAGAGCAGATAAAAAGGTTTAGTATGATTATTATTTCACAAGTTCACTGGACACTTTATTCTAAACTGCAGAAATTTGTATTTTCTCTGAAATTATAATTGGAATAATAATAACTTGAGAAATGTTGTTCTGTGAAAATGCAGCGTGAACTGCTGAATGATTTTAAATTAAAGCAGCTGAAGAAGCTGAAAACAGCTGAAAAGGTTTCATCGCTGTTGATGTGAGTTGAATTTGCACAGCTGACATTTGTTGCAAGCAGGAAAATAAAAGCAGAAATAAACAGCTGAAATGTGTAGAAACTGAAAAGAGCAGTAATGAGCAGAGCAAGTTGAAATACGAAGAGAAAGGATGAACAAATTAAAAATATCTTCAATTGGTTTTTTTTTTTAAGTTAATTAAATGAGCAGAAAAAATCTGAAAACAGTGAAAAAGTAGCATAAATGGCTGAAAGGAGCATAAAAGTTGAAAATGTAAAAAATATAAAAATAATAAATGTATATATATACATATATATATACATATATATATATACATATATATATATACACATATATATACATATATATACACATATATATATATATATATATATA